TTCACTATTCGAATGTTTCAAGATGAGATTGCAATAGCATACGCTTGAAACTATGATGAAATTATTCAGTATCGGCGTCAGTACGAGTTTTGGGTGTGGATGTGGATTACAAAAATTAAGAACACATACCCTTAACCACAGACACCATGACACCCACATCTACACCCAACATCAACAATCACACCCACCCACACACAATAGTCACACCCACCCACACGCAACGTTAACACTCACGCTCATGCACACCCACACCCACACCCCAACACCCACACTCTGCGAAACATATCATTGACTACACTATACTGATAGTCGATTACTTGCGAAATGGCCGATACTGTGCTCGTCGAGATTTTCTAGCAACCGAATCGCTGCTCAGTAGTTTTTTTGTACTATTTTGCAGCTCCGAAAACGCTCTATCTCTAGAGAAAAAATGGCAATGGCGTCAGCAGTCAGGATCAAGATCGACAGAACCATGCTATCAAATCTGTTCGTTTTCCCGTAGAAACTAAACAGTGTGGTCCTTTGAAATTTTTCAGCGCAGAACAGTTATCTTTCCATTTTATGATCATTTTGTAGCTCTTGAAAATCTGTCTGTACAATAACAAGAAGGATGGTCTCAGGAGTATTACTCAAGTTCCTATGTACTATACTATCCCAACAATGGATTTTCCTGTGGAACTCGGACAATATGGTACTTGGAAATTCTCGAGTACGGTATATTTTAATTTAGAATTTGTGATCATTTTGAAGATCGTAAAAAACTGTATCTGTACAGAAAAAACGACGATGGTATCATGAGCAATACTTAAGTTGCTACAGATCATACTATCCCAACAATGCGTTTTTCTGTTGAACTTGGACAGTGTGATCCTTGGAAATTCTCGAGTGCAGCATATTTTACTTCACAATTTGTGATGATTTTGTAGGTCTTAAAAGAGTTGTAACGAACCTGAAAATATAAGGCTCATATGGTGAACTCACGCGATTAACGTGTGAGAGGGGATGCCGATATTAATAATGTTTCTGCGCTAGGTAGAAATGTTGAGAAGGGGTCGAGATGTTTTATTCTTACTTAGAGGAAGTTGAAGTTCAGTTTTATAAAGTGTTCTGAGATGATTTTTATTTAGGACCGTTTTACATGCAAATTCGGCCCTTCCTTTGAAAACTCGATTAAGAATGGATAAATGATTATGCAATTGAAGTATGAATATTGACATTGAAAATTTGAATAAAGATTTAGAAGCTTGAACAGACAGAAAGAGAAGACTTGCAATGAATATAAAAGGTTTAAATATTTGAAAAGTCTATAAAAGAAAAGATTTTCATGTCGAAGTCAAAGTTTTAGTTTATAGCTGTTGGTTACGGAGCAACACCACCAAAATCGTCAATGTAGACGTAACCTCTATGAGCACCTTGATTGCAGTCTGCTACCATAATATTTAAAGTGAAATTGTTACCAATGTCAGAAGCATTAAGGATCAAGTGCTCGGTTTGCCACGATGGTGTGTAAAAATAGTTACCCGATACGTTAAAACGATAATCAACTCCATCGGAGCCAGCTCGTGCATCGTATTGACGGAAGAATAGTGTATTACCAACGGTCACATCTGTTAGTTGAATCTGTAGGACACTAGATTGTTCGGCGGTATGTCCACCGTTTTCCAATACAGCCAACCATGAAAAGTAGATATCAGTACAAAAGTATTGTCTAATGGTCTGACTGAGAACTGACACATAAGACTCAGTACTTGTATCTTCAATACGCCACGAGTAATTGCCGCGAAAAACAATATTTGGCATCAGCGTTCCAAGTATTCTATCGTTTCCACTGGTAACAATACTTGAATGGCTATTTGCAATGGTAGAATCATATTTGGAACCACCTGGCAAAAAGTCAGCTATTTGTAACTGTGACCTATTCAAAATTCCCCGCGAACCACCACCAAGTGTCCAACCATTAGAATTACCCGTCTCAAAATTACCATTTATGAAAATGTTCAACAAGCATTCTATCAAAAAAGTAGAGGAGCAATATATTTACCTGTGGAATGCTGAAAATCACTTATGGGAATTTCAATGTATTTGTTTTGCAATAGATAGATCTCACTTATTTTTAATGAACGAACAGCGTTATTGAAAAACTATTGGAAATGAGTGAATAGTTTTGCTACTATTTACACTAGAGTTCATAAGAAATCAAGCCAATATCCGATAGTCTTTGATTCTTGTTTTGAATGGGCAGTAACTAAATTCTTTCATGTGTTAGATTATGAAACAACCTAAGATATTGTTTAGAATTATTTAGTCTATAATTTAATGGATGGTTGTCAATATTGTTCTATGTCTGTGGTTGTTGCATCAATTTACTACGTAGTATATTTAGAGATGGCAAGTTATCGTTCCTAGGCCGTTACTCAGTAATGGTAACGGTTGCTATGGAAAGAGCTATCACTTACCCTGCTAACTGTTATTCGTTTCTAGTGACCCGGGAACGGGTCAGGTGAGTAAATAATGTAATGATAATATTCTGTTGACAGGAAGTGATGAATTATCTTTTTTAAACAAGTTAACAGGAAAAGTAACTGGTAACGGTAACTTCCTACCCCTAGGAATATTTGAGCTGTAGCAACAATATTGGACAGAAACAAAATCGAAAAGCAACAAAGACAGAAGAGATGAATGCTATTTTTTAAATTTTGCAACAAATACAAAAATATTTCAAAGTTTTATGAAAGTTTATCTTATGTCTCTATAAAATCGAGTACGCAGATATCAAGGTCTATTTCGTGATTTAAGTACTAGTTAGATTGAGATGATGTACAAGATAGATTATAGTACCATGAAAATCTAAAATGGGGTATTTCTTTTATAGACAAAATGTTATTAGAACACTGAAAAATAAATGTCATTATATGCTGCTCATCAAGAAACACATTGTGAACACATAGATTAACTATCCAAGACTATTACAGAAGAAAGAAAATCGTCAACAATGAGGTTTTTATTATTGAGGCACGCTGCATGATGAGCGTCTTTGATCCATATATCTAATATACTATTTCAATTTGCAAAGAAATTACCTTGATATCTGCGTACTCGATTTTATAGAGACATA